TCCTAGTTAATTCTTCCCAAATATGCTCAATTACGTTAAGGTCTGGGCTCTGTGCAGGTGTTGGTATAAGTTTGGGGCAGTTATGAATCAACCAAAGCTTTGCAACACCTGATGTGTGCTTGGGATCGTTGTCTTGATAAAAGGCAAAGTTGTTCGCGATACCCAATTTGTCTGCACTTTGCTTTACATTTTGTTTTAAAATTTTGAGGTAGACAAATTTGTCCATTTTACCATCAATAAAATGCAAATTGCCTTCAGCATTTGGCTTACGCCACACATACATCTTTCCATCTGATCCGTGCAAATTAAATTTGCTTTCCGATTATGCGATGGAGCCACTGTATATAGCATTTCCAGAATAAAGGAAACCTTTTACAAATTAAATGAAACCTTTTCCAAATTAAATGGAACCTTTTCCAATTGAAGTGAAACCTTTTACAAATAGAATGAAACCTTTTCCAATTGAAATGAAACCTTTTACAAATAGTATGAAACTTTTTCCAAATTAAATGAAACCTTTATTCTTATCTAAGGAAATATAATATTTGCAGTCATTTTAAACCAATATTTGAAAATTAAATCAAAGAATATTAACAAATATAGTTGTATGGCTATGTAATTAACATAAATATTCTTTAATTCGGTGTGATATCATTTAATATCTTTACTACATAAAACTAAATAAATAGTAATACAAACTGGGGTATTTCTTGACATTTGAATAAATAAATATATTTAAGAACAAAAATTGAATACCCGGTCCTAAATGCGAAATACATATTTGACTTAATAAATTGTTGATGATAAGGTAACTGCTTATCTTAATGAAGGGGTTCCCGAATTGCAGCTTGTGGGATTTTCAAAACCATGTCCATAGCTTTTGAATACTTCGCTCGATTACATCAACAATGTTATGTTCCATTGAAACGCTCAGCTCTTGCACATAATTTTATTTTTGAAAATGCATTTTCAATTGGATTTAGCATTAGAGAATAAAGCGGTAAGAATTTAAGGTTGCATCTTTTGGATTCGATCAAATTTTTTATGTCATGTCGCTTGTGTATTTGAGCGTTATTTTCCAACTCTGGATTGATTTTCTCAAAAAAAAATTTCTATAAATAATTTAAATCTGTCTGCATTGACACTGGAATTAGAAACGATTGTGTGATGTACAACTCCCGCGTTGTTTATTGCTGCAATTATAGTGACATTACGACCTCTGATCGTAGGCAACACAATGTGTGCTCTTGTTCCTTGTCTTGAACGGGCTTGGGTTCTTCGTATGTGAAGATTAAATCCACACTCATCAATGAATACTAATTTTTCTCCATGTTGGGGTATCCATTTTGTAAAGTCTTGAGCATATTTTTGTCTCAAGCCTAATGTTCTGGAGTCATTCATTCGTTCTATTTCAATAGAGGAAATCTTCAACGTAATTTTTAATTTCCGTAATCCATTTTCTATGGAGTCTTTTGGAGAAAATCAATCCAGAGTTGGAAAATTCGTTCTTGATAATGGATAACGCTCAAATACACAAGCGACATGACTTAAAAGATTTGATCGAATCCAAAAGATGCAATCTTAAATTCTTACCGCCTTATTCTAAAATGGTAAATCCAATCGTTTCAATGGAATATAACTTTGTTGACGTAATCGAGCGAAGTATTCAACAGCTTACTGGGCAAGATAATTCTAACTACGTTATGGACATGGTTTTCAAAATCCTACAAGCTGCAAGTCGGGAACCTCTTCATTAAGATAAACAGTTACCTTATCATCGACAATTTTTTAAATTAAATATGTATTTCGCATTTAGGACCGGGTATGCAATACTTGTTCTAAAATATTTATTTATTAAATTGTCAAGAAATGCCCCAGTTTGTATTACTATTTATTTAGTTTTATGTAGTATAGATATTAAATGAAATCACACCGAGTTAAAGAATATTTATGTTAATTACATAGCCACACAACTATATTTGTTAATATTCTTTGATTTAATTTTCAAATATTGGTTTAAAATTACTGCAAATATTATATTTCCTTAGATAAGAATAAATGTTTCATTTAATTTGGAAAAAGTTTCATTCTATTTGTAAAAGGTTTCATTTCAATTGGAAAAGGTTTCATTTAATTTGGAAAAGGTTTCATTTAATTTGGAAAAGGTTTCATTTAATTTGGAAAAGGTTTCATTTAATTTGTAAAAGGTTTCATTTAATCTGGAAATGCTATATTTTCGTCCGATTTAAGGTAAATGTCGCTAAATATACTTCGATTTGCAGGAAATTTGGCATAGCGTACTGAATTAAGCTTAGAATGATGTATATTCGTGGAAATCGGTTAAGATGTAGATATAGCTCCCATATATATTTTCATCCGATTTAATGTAAATGGTTAACCAAAGCCCCTATATATATTTCGATTTGCATTAAATTTTGTATATCACACTGAACTAAGTCTAGAATGATGTGTGTTAAATTTAATGAATATCGGTTCAGTTTTAGATATAGCTCCCATATATATTTTCGTCCGATTTAAGGTAAATGGTGTGCCAAAGTCCCTAAATATCATTCGTTCAATTTCATGTCAATGTTCTTTCGAGAAGGCGACGTCTGTTATGAGACTATGTAGAATATATCCAAAGAGGTGAAGGGTGTCACATAGTGGGCCCAGTCCAACTTTACTACTTTCCTTACTGGTTTAAATAATATTTTTTTCAAGGACCATAATAAGGCGTGGATTTTTTAAAGAACATTTTTTCGAGGACCATAATAAGGCTTGGATTTTTTAAAGAACATTTTTTCGAGGACCATAATAAGTCGTGGATATTTTAAAGAACATTTTTTCGAGGACCATAATAAGGCGTGGATTTTTTAAAGAATATTTTTTCGAGGACCATAATAAGGCGTGGATTTTTTAAAGAATATTTTTTCGAGGACCATAATAAGGCGTGGATTTTTTAAAGAACATTTTTTCGAGGACCATAATAAGGCGTGGATTTTTTAAATAATATTTTTTCGAGGACCATATAAGGCGTGGATTTTTTATACCCTTCACCACACTGTGGTACAGGGTATTATGTCTTTGTGCATATGTTTGTAACAGGCAAAAGGAAACGAGATAGACACATGGTTCCTTTTGAGAATATGCATAGAATCACTTTCTAAATCGATTTACGCATGTCCGTCTGTCCGTCCGTCCGTCCATGTATTTTTGTGAACAAAGTACAGGTCGCATTTATGATCCGATTTGGATGAAATTTGGCATATGTCACTTATTTGGCCCAGGGACGAACCCTATTGAAATTGGGAAAAATCGGTACAGATTTAGATATAGCTCCCATATATATATTCGTCCGATTTAATGTAAAAAGTCCCTATATATCTTCCGAATTGCACGAAATTTGGCACATCGTAATGAATTAGGCCTAGAATGATGTGTGCTGAGTTTCATTAAAATCGGTTCAGATTTAGATATAGCTCCCATATATAGTTTCGTCCGATTTTATGTAAATGGTGCACCAAAGTCGCTATATATCTTTCGATTTGCACGAAATTTGGCACAGCGTAATGAATTAGGCCTAAAATGATGTGTGCTGAGTTTCATGAAAATCGGTTCAGATTTAGATATAGCTCCCATATATAGTTTCGTCCGATTTCATGTAAATGGTGCCCCAAAGCCCCTATATATCTTTCGATTTGCACGAAATTTTGCATAACGTATTGAATTAAGACTAGAGTGATGTCTGCCAAGTTTCGAGAAAATCGGTCCAGATTTAGATATAGCTCCCATATATAGTTTCGTCCGATTTCATATAAATGGTGCACCAAAGTCGCTATATATCTTTCGATTTGCACGATATTTGGCATAACGTACTGAATTGAGCATAGAGTGATGTCTGTCTGCCTTGTTTCGTGAAAATCGGTCCAGATTTAGATATAGCTCCCTTTTATTATAGATTGATTTTAAGTAATTGACGCACCAAGGAACCAATAGGCTGATCGGAACAAAACGTTCTGAAATTACTGTAACCTAACCTGTGACATGTTTGTTTGAAATCGCTTAATATTTGGATAGAGCATCCATATATATTTTCGTCCGATTTCAAGTAAATTGGGCATCAAACTCCTCATGTAGTCAGATTGACATCAGATTTTGCACAACTTATAAAATTGAGCATAGAATTACATAGTTGCGTTTTCTACCTATTTATATTTGTTTGAAGTCGATTTACATACTTTATGGATAGATCTAGGTAGATTCACATTTAGATAAATATCACATATTTTATTTCATCCAATTTCATGCTAATAGTCCTGTTTAATATACCCATAGTGGTGAAGGGTATCATATAGTCGGCCCCGTCCGACTTTACTACTTTCCTTACTGGTTAAAGAATATTTTTTAGAAGACCATAATAAGGCGTGGATTTTTTAAAGAATATTTTTTCGAGGACCATAATAAGGCGTGGATTTTTTAAAGAATATTTTTTCGAAGACCATAATAAGGCATGGATTTTTTAAAGAATATTTTTTTCAACGACCATAACAAGGCGTGGATTTTTTAAAAAATATTTTTTCAAGGACCATAACAAGGCGTGGATTTTTTAAAGAATATTTTTTCAAAGACTAAATATTATATTTTTAAGACTAATATAAGTCTATGTCCCATACAAAAGCCTCGCATATTTTCCGGCATCATCAAGGTCCAAACCTAATTCTCCCACCTGCGGTTTGGTATTTAAGTTGCTCCTGGTACCAATAGTCTTCATATAAAAGTTCATATGGTTTTAGGTACTGGACCTGGCCTGTTGCCAAAGACTATATAAGTCCGTGGATTTTTAAAAGTTTTTTCCAATTTTTTACATGATACAAATTTATTTGAAGACATAAATATCACAAAATTAATTGAAACTATTTTCTAAAACTCAAGATAGATATTATTTTCTACTAATTTCACAATCCATTTTCCAAATACATCCAAAGGCCGTGGTAATACATTCAATAACAATCTTGCAGATCAACATCATATTTTTCTCGATATTTGCGACAAAATACCCTGGCGAAATTGTGTAGAATACTTCTTTGCTTCCAGGGGTCAAATACCTAATGAGGGAAGAAAACATACGAATATTAAAACCAGATACATTTTAAATACTTCTGCAACTTACCCCACCAAGACCAATCGATGGTACAAATGTCATATCAATGGCATCTGTCAGGTCACCATATTTCTTTAAAATATCCACCGTTGATCGGGTAGCTTTGCAATTTTTGGCCGCAGTGACATCGATATTTAATTGGTTGGCACACTAAATTTGATTTTTGTTTAAAAAAATTTATAATTATGAATTTATTTTCTAACTCACCGTATCAACATCTGTGGAATAACCATTCAATAGACACGTTATCATATCCAATTGTTCACGCATCGTATTGTGCTCCACAATACAGGCATGCAGAGCATTTAGTTCACATTCCCGATTACCATGTTGACAATAGAGTGTCGTCTCATTGGTACTGGGATTTGTCCATGACTTTAAAGAGGGGAATATTTTATGTTATTTGTTGTGTTATGAATAAAGGTTATCGCCAACTTACCCCAACCTTGCCATAGGGTATAAATACCAATTCACTAAACTGCAATAGCCTACCGTCAATCATGGCACCATACAATTGATTGCGTACAAAACGCATACTATCCGGACACAGGGTTTCATAATAGATTTCCACTTTTAATTTATCGAATTCCAATTCGGCCTGTAACGATATGGATATAATTGGAAGAGGTTGCTGAAGTTAAACACATTTAGAAGGCATAGCTTTTAAAGAACAGAATTTGGATTTTTGGAGAATAATTGTTCAAATACTGTAGGAAACTTGGAGTTCTTAAAGAATATTTTTGAGGGCTATAGAAAGCTTTGATTGAAAGAAAATATTCATAGGTAAAATCTAAGCATCGATTTTTTAAATAAGTGTGGATTTTTAAAGAATATTTTTCAACGATATTTTTAATGAATTTTTTGTTAAGGATTATTGTAAGCGCGATTTTTTAAAGAAAATGTTTTCAATGTTAGGTTTAATAATAACAATTATAAGGATCCATTTTTTTTAAATAACATTTTCAAGGTTTATAAGGATTGTGGGTTTCTTAACAATCATATTTTTCAAGAGCCAACATAGCGTGTATTTAGACCCTTCACCACACTGTGGTACAGGGTATTATGTCTTGGTGCATATGTTTGTAACAGGCAAAAGGAATAGAGATAGACCCAGGGTTTCTTTTAGAATCACTTTCTGAGTCGATATATGCATGTCCGTCCGTTCATTTTTGCAAACAAAGTACAGGTCGTATTTATGATTCGATTTGGATGAAATTTGGCACAAGTCACTTATTTGGCCCATTGGAGAAAATCGGTTCAGATTTAGATATAGCTCCCATATATAGTTTCGTCCGATTTTATGTAGTTGAAGCACCAATTGAAACCAAATTTTACACAAAGTACTGAATTAGGTCCAGATTGATGTATGCGAAAATTTTTTGGAATCGGTCAGATTAAGATATAACTCCCATGAATAGTTTCTTCCGCTTTTATGTAAATGGTTACCAAACTCCCAATATTGGTCCCATTGAGACAAAATTTTGCACAGAGTACTGAATTAGGTCTAGATTGATATATGCCAAGTTTAGTTGAAATCGGTTCAGATTTAGATATAGCTCCCATATATAGTTTCGTTCGATTTTATGTAAATGGAGCATCAAAGAGTCAAATTTAGTCCGACTGGCACAAACATTTTGCACAGCGTGCCGAATTAGGTCTAAATTTAGCATCTCTTGTATGTACCCAAAGTGGTGAAGGGTATTATATAGTCGGCCCCGTCCGACTTTTGAGCTTTCCTTACTGGTTTAAAGATGTCTTCTTGATCGCATGAATACGTTGAATGATAAACATTTCCTTTTTGGTTCAGAAATATATCTTAGTCAGAAATATAAATATACAGTCGAGTTTGCTTATAACGAACACGGGTTATAAGGAACTTCGTCTATAGCGAACAATTTTCTTGGTTCCAAAGTTTTAAGACACATTTTTCATACAAATATTAACTCTTATAACAAATCCAAAATTGTGATTTTTGAGTTAATGATGCCGAATTATTCGCTATATCAGGCTTCTTCCACTCACTGGTCGTAAGGTGTGGGACAAATGGAAATTTAAAATACATTTTTTGGAAAATGGATTTTTGGGTTTATGCCGGTCTTGCAGCTAATGCTCGATATGATCTTCAGTCTATAAACGATCCATAAATATAAAATACTCATAGATTGTCTTCACACTTCATCATCAGATGGTCATCAATCCATAGTATACCCACAGATGTTCAGATGTTTATACATTTAGAAGATCCGCATATTGTACCTATGGATATTAAAACGAGTGGTTCAAACCCTCAGATGATCTCGTATAGAATACTACTTTATCTGTAGATTATCACTTCTATCTGACCTACAGTAGGATTGTTATCAACAAAAGACCTCCGAACGTGCTTATACCTATAGAAGACACATATATGAACTTCTACACTACTTCTTCTGTCTATGGAATTACATGTATTGTCTTCTGTCTATAGAAGACCTTTAAAGACCCTATGTTAAGGAAGACTTAAAATGGTTTTCTGTTTTTTGAAGAAGGACATATATTTTTACAAGACCCAATAACGTATCTAATAATTGAAATCCATAATATGATCACCAATTTGTAAAAGACCTATAGTATGTTTTCCATTCATAAAATTTATTTTATTTACAGAATTGCCACAAATGGTTTAGTGTCTACCGAAGAACCGAAGTAGGTCTTTAATCTATAGAAGATCTAGAACGGTTCCCCTAGAGATTAGCATCTGGGGGTTTTTGTTGAGAAGTCATCTTACATTCTATATGTTGCCCGTTGACGTCATAAGACCTCACATATTTAGTTTTCTCATGTCAGAAATTTACTATAGCGCGCATATAAAATTCCCTATCGATGTTGAAGTATAGAAAATAAAAGATATGGGAAAGGGGGATCGATATTGAAAATTTTTGGTAGTGGGATTTGACACGCAATGAAAATACAAAATATCAAATTGCAGCGAAAACGGTTGAAAATCGTGTCCAAAATACCGAATATTGGGGGTACTGTTATATGGGACCTACACCAAAACGTGGATCAATATGTCACATATGCAATACCAAACCTCCTAGAAGTACTAACAATTTTAGAGCCCTGTCTTAAATATTGCGATCTCTTTTGTGATTTTAACAGACGGACAAGCGTAAATCGACATAGAATTTATAACAAATTTTGTGGGGTTTGCGGTGAATATTTTGAGATATTGCAAGGGGAATGAACAATTTAATATACACTTGACCTTATGGTGGAGGATTAAGTTAGTTCGCGCCGAACTTTTTATACCCTCCATAATGGGAACTCACCAAAACTTGTGTCAATAATGATCATTTTTTGAGAGCTTTTTAAACCAATGAGAATCCAAATTAAAAATTACAGCCGTTTTGTAAAAAAAATTCACAAACACTACGAAATATCGAAATTTTGGAGATATGATTATATTGCGAGCTCTATCGTAATTTCATAACAGACAGATAAACGTGGCTAAATCGACATATAATTAAAATTTTAGCACCTATGTTCTCTTATAGCACTTATTTTCAAAACTACCTCTACAGAAATCTAGCTCTATCTAGCTTTGTACTTTTGTAATACATATTTCAAAAAAAAAAAGAAAAAAATCCAAATTTCAAATGAAGGTTCACCCAAATCCAATATAGTACCAATAAGTACATAATAATATCAATTTCCACAACTGCATACCTTAATTATAAATCTTAATTTCAAATTTCAGTGTTCCAGCTCTATCGGTCTACCATTTAGTACACATCAATCCTACACCTCAACCAATAGAACTAGAATGAATACTAACTTGAATCCTAACTTCAAATTTCAGGATTCTAGCTCTATTGTATCACCCAAAATTCAAATCGTACCAAATTTAGTACACATTAGTACGAATTTCCTAAACTACCAACATACCTCAATTCTACATTGCAATAGTAAACTTATTTCCAAATTTCAGGGTTCCAGCTCTATCAGTTCACCCGAATCCAAATTGTACCAAATGTAGCACTATTTAGTACCTTTCGTACACATAAGTACACATTTCCAAAATTTACCTACACATCGCAATCCTACACTACGACACTAATGTTAATTTCAAATTTCATGATTCCGTCTCCATCCGTACCTCCAAATTTAAATATAGTACCATATAGTACTTTTCGTATACAAGAGTACACGCATTCAAAACCACCGCCCTTTCATCTCAACCTTGATTCACACTCTAAATTTCATGTTTTTAGCTCTCTTCTTTCATATGCTACGAACTTGTACCAAATTTGGAACATTTTAATACTTATAGTTAGAATACTTATAGTCAGAATGCCCAAAAAACCCTTTGCCATATCTAATCTACACTCCATCAGTGACCCTAATTTCAAATTTAAAACTTCTAGCTCTACCTGATAGCCAAATGGTACCACATTTAGAGCTTTTTAGTACTTTTCGTGTCGTTCTAGTACGAATTAAAAAAGAAACCCAACCTTATCTGTCACCTTTGAACCAATAGTGAACATTACCCAAAATTTCAAGATTCTAGCTTCAGCAGTTTCGACATGAACTTTTGAGTTTCAAGCAAAAATGCTATTGCGCCATAACTTAAAAACGTTTCTTATAAGGAATATGCCCTTCTGATTGTTTTTAGACTCGTCAAGAGCTTTCATCACCATACGGATTTTTGTAACCCACTTCCCCCAAGTATTGAGTCGTAGATAGAATATGGAAGATATCCAGGTTTTCTGCAAACAGTAGAGAATTTCTAATTCTTATCTACTGAAGACCCTTAAGTTTTTTCAGACAAGAGAATAACAATATAAGTTCTTCGGTCTATAAAATCATATAGAGAGCTTTCGATCTGTAGAAGATCTACAAAACATCGTCTTCACACTCAAACTCGTGTCGAATTATTTCTTATAAATCACATGTGAAACAATTATATTTTTAATATTTTAACGGTTATATATTTAATTTTATATAAAAATCACTTTGTTGTTATTTTATTTGAATTTTTGCACTATACATTTTTTTTATTTTACGTTCCGATTATTTTTTTTCAAACTCACATTGGTCAGTACAATAATTGCACAAAGAAATGATAACGACGAAACAAAAGATTTCATTGTGTCAATGTGTCGCACCAGACGACAGTGTCTATTCCAAACAAAAACAATGACGTTTGTTTAATAAAACAAAGGAGAAATAATATTTCTTATATTTTTTTCTTTGAATTTCAAATCAGAACTGTGAATGAACTTTTTCGTTGGCTGGCGGCTGGCTGGTGGTGGTTACACAAATTTCCAGCGCGTCTTTCCGCAACGACTTTTACGATGAAACTAAGGCGAGAAATTAAAACCGACCGAAAAACAAAAATTATTTCATTC